ATGGCAACAGCAGGTCCAGTCTGGGAAGAAGGTTCAAAGAGTAACAGATGCTCTCTTTGTGGGACATATGTGGAGGGTGGAAACCTTCTCCACTTTAGAGAAGAAAGTGTAACATATCCTCAGAGAACGAGAGAAAACTGAGTCCCTTAGAGTTATTTCAAAAGCTCAAACATCATAAATAAACTATTGTGTTCATTCTGTATCAGGTTTTTAACATATTCTTGCCTTCACACCACTATACTGAATAGTGGACTCAACATACACAAGAAGAGTGTAGTAGTCATATTTTGTATTTTGATTAGGTTAGTTCCTCGATTATAAAAAAATATGAAATTTCTATTAACAACTAAATTTTCACACGATATTCAGTAAACTACGCAAAACAGGTTTTGGGAAATAATTGAACACAGGTTACAAATAACAGACTGGACCAAATCATAACGCTGATAACAGTGACACCTAGCGGTGAACGTGTAACATGGCGTTTGTTGATGAGAGACGGTTATGGCCATCGTTTTTAAACAACAAACTCAGGATGAAGCTATTTCTAATGAATATGTATTATCAAAGAGTATTATCCATACCTCCACAGTACAGCGGACAGCAGCAAGTCTTGAGATTAAGATGGCGTCGGCACAGCAGGCGAGATCATCATAGGTCTGAGGGAAAACAATATTGCTTATTGTATTAATTAACCAACTACTATAACGTTAACTATTAACTGTTTCATTTGGTGATTTCAACACACGCCGGTGGCTTAATTTAGCCTATAAGAAGGTTTACTTCAGAACTTAACTTTACCGTTCATAATGAAATCCAAATAGTGGGGAATTTAAGTTTCAGACATGGGAATTGTAATATGATTTGGTAAAGAGTTTTTTGACCTTATTACAAAGGTGAGGAAAAAGGCCACAAAATGTATAAATTGGCAACACGACTAGTCCAAAATTTGATGAAAGTGATGTCTGTTTGGTGAACCAGAGTCTATTTTGGACGCGAGATGTGCTTGTGTTGTCATTTAAAGGTATAGTGGTTTTCACAAGTCATCAATCCGGAAGTCGGCCATATTGGCGGCACTTAACAAAATGAACTACTTGCAAATTTGGCTTATTATTGCTGCTGAATTTTTTTTGTTATATTAACATATTTTATATTTAATAAATATTATATATTAAATACTCTACTTTTAAAGCTGCAATCCATAACTTTTTTGAGGTTAAAAATGATCCAAAATACATATTTGAGAAAATACATAACCAGCCAGTGTTCAAAACTCTCTGCTTGCCTTAGCTCAATTCAAAGCGGTAAGCTTGTAATAATGTTAATTAGATTGAATTTAGATTGAATCAGCGCGATTTACTGCAATGTCAGAACCACAACAAATAAGTGGATGTTACTTACTTGTTCAGATGACATTTTCCGGTGAAAATTATTATGTTGGTCATACTTCCAAAAAGAATAATATGCGATTCTGGATGCCAGTATCCACACCCGCGCAACGATTGACAGCTGCACACTCAAACATTGTGTTCATCCATGCCGTGCCGTGTCGAATTACATTTCATTTCACATTAAATTGATAATTCCGCGAATAACCACAATTGCAGATTTCGAACAGAGATGGCGACAAAGAGGAAAAACTCCGGACTGCAGCTTTAAGAAAGTATTTATAACAAATATGCTATCGTCAAGCTTAGACACGTTATTAAACATGATTATTTGCACAATGACATGAAAATTAAAGATAGATATTGCTACAGTAAGTGAAGGATTGAAAATCAGTTTACCTGAGGACGCCAGTGTTACGGATCAACTGGGGATCATGTTAACTGGGGACGCGCGCGTGCACGCAGACAGTTTTACCTGGATTTCCAGCAGATGTTAACCGCGACAGATTCGTGCCCTATTTTTCACCGATAAAAACGAATATTTCACCAGTTGTATACACGGAATGCAAATAAAGCGCTTTGTTTTTGCAGTGTATGATATTCCTTTGTATTTGACGCATTTTCAAAGAAGTTTAACATACTTTAGTGTCAAGCTCAGAAACCACGCCCATGTTAACAAGGGTCATTCGCTTTCATTGGATGAACAGACTTGTCAGCGCACTTGTGTTATCATGTGTTCTAATCACAAATAACAACAGATATAGATTAAGTTAAAGTATATAGGCTACCTAAAAGAATCATAAAGTGCAAAGTCATTTACATTTTTTCAACAAGTTGCATTTTTCGATCTGCATTGCCTAATTTTATAATGGATCAATTATTTTTTATCTTATCAGCTTATTTTACTCTGATGATATTTAGATCTCTTTTTTGAACAACCAGATGTGAAGCGTCCGTATCATCCATATCATGAAGTTAATTATCTCATGAACTTAATGTAACATTTTCAAAAGATTCATAAAATAAAAAATAATTTATTTGTTTCTTTCAGAACAATTCTGTATATACTACTGCAAATTTGTATAAGCATATCAACCCATAATCGAACCATGGCATAAAGCATTCATGTAGCTCAAACAGTAGAGTGTTACGCTGACAACACCAGAATCATGGGTTCAATTCCCACATAAAGGAATAACTAATGAGACTTTAAAATGTACCTTGAAATGCAATATAAATTGCTCAAACATTGTACATTATGCTCAGTAGCATAAACTTGAATGTTGTGTAGCCTATCTAATGTCTTGTATTGGACATTTAGAGAACACTTTGTCTTTAGTGATTAAAGTCCTGTGAAAAACACAGAGTGTATTACTGAAATAAGCAGAACATATGATATTGTGATGATGACTTATTACAAAAATATAGGCCTGATATTCTGTAGCCTATGTCTAATTTTCACCTACATCACTAACCTCTTAATCATTTGTCACCTCACATGAATAGCATGACCCTCTCTAAAACAATACAAAATGCTTTAATTGTTTACTTATTGCTGACATCTTTAACAAAAGAAATATTACACAATGGTCTATGAGTTTTATAAATAAAATAATGTGTTTGGGCAACTTTTTATGTAATATAAATTATGCCAGTGCTCTTCATTTGACTGGTACCATGAAATTCATTAGTTCACCTTCGAACAATTTCTTGCTGATAATTTACTCACTCAGGAATGTTTTCCTCAAAAATCTTAATTTCTTTTCGACTGAAGAAAGACATGGACATCTTGGATGACATGGGGGTGAGTAAATTACCAGCAAAAACCTTTTTTGATAGTCAACTACTCCTTGAACATATTCTCTTTACTTGTTATTCATCACATCATGTGCATTCATTGTTGTCATCTGCTATTTCTTAGGAACAGATTAAAAAAAGGTCTATAGCTAAATTAAGTGTCATTATTGTTACTGGTGTCATTGTTGTTAGGCCATAGACTATCACAACAAATTGATGCAATTAAAGTTACACAAATCAAAAACTTTGTAGGATAACCATTATTTGGCAGCTGCTCTATAAAGGAACACTAAGAGGAGATTTCTCAGTGAAGGGTGATTGTGTGTTAAATTGCTCTTACTATAGAAAGGTAATACAACTGTGACATTTATTTTCTAATATAACATGATTACATTAGATGGAGAGCAGTAGGTATTAAGGCCAAACTGGCCAAGAAAAATGTATGCACATTGCAAAACAAGTAATTGTTCTTCATTAGCATGTAACTATTCTAACTTATTTTGTTCATCCTTCCTTAGATTGAATGTTCAGAAGGTGAGACTGTGTGGTCAGACCTTCACAGATGGCAAATACAGCTGTCCTACATGCATGCACAATTGCCTATTTTTTTTCTTTCTTTTGTTGCTTTCATAGGTCTGTTATAATGAATATGTGTGTTGAACATTCCCCTATATAAATGCTGTGAGTAAATCACTGAATCCATAAGATATGTCTTATCAATTTTCACCACACTTTATGAACATTTATGGAGTGTACTGTATGCTTAATGTTTTAACTCATTCCTCAGCAACATTAAAATTCATAAATAATAAATAAATAAATGCTTGACATGTCCCTTTAACCACAGAAGTATTGCTGCTCAATTTAAATGAAGCCACAAATTGGCATCATAACAATAATCTGCGAATACACACGCACTGCAAATACACAATGTCAATAGTATAATTTATTTAATATATTTACAGTTGTCATCAGATACAAATTTTATTGAAACTAATGTAAAAAAAAAATAATAATGTGGGCGTGGTCTGTGTGTCGCAAAATTAAAGCACATTAAAACTTCCCGTAGGCGTCTGAAACATACAGCGGAGCAGCGCAGAGTAAACAACAGAGCCATAATATGATGCAAACATTTAACAATAAAGTGGAAAGCTTTGAAAATCTGCTCAGTGAAAAAATAACTGTGACGAATCTGTCACCGTTTAACATCTGCTGGAAATCCAGGTAAAACTGTCTGCGTGCACGCGCGCGTCCCCAGTTAACATGATCCCCAGTTGATCCGTAACACCAGCTCGCAGTTAATTTCAGAATTAGTTTAAGACTTATGTTTGTGATAACGGCCAAAATTGATGCACCCCACCAAATTCAACACTATTCCCAGACATATTTTGTTTAAAATGGTTTGATTAGGGAAAGGGGAAAAAAGAAGAAACGCTTCAAAACTTTCCTAATGAAATCTTAAGTGATTTCAAACTGTGCAAAGAAGGTGGTAATTAGGAGAGACCCTGGTTGTAAGCGCTTTGGGTACAGCCTACTACGAAAAGCGCTGTATAGCCTAAATGCCTCCTTGATTAATTTGTTGTGCAAAGAAACTTACCCAATATCATTTCCATTTTCAAGAAATTAATTTTGGAATTATGAAGTGAATGAATTTCCTGAATGAATTTCCTTCTGAGACGTCCTCATATTTTTGATGCGGATGTGCGGTTGAGTTTCTTAAGGAACGATGGCGTCATCTAGCGGTGATGGAGAGAACAGCACCCGCCACAGGCTGAGTGAGGAATTAGCGCTTCGGATGCGCTTGGAAGGCGTGGTTTTACCTCACTGACACGCGCCCAACATTCTTTCATTGATAATCCGTCGAGTGCACTAACTAGTGCACGAGCAGCGCGTCAATTGCGCACTAATCAAACGGAAAATGATGTGATACAAACGCAGACGTACCAGGTAGGATTTTTATGCGCGTGTGTTCTTATCTGCAGCTCCTACAGGGATACATCACAGTGATGAATTTGCCAACAAGGTCAAGTTATGGGATTTCAATACGAGTCAAGGCAAGGATTTGTATATGAATGGGTGGGTTACAGCATATTTTGCGGGAAAAATCATTAAACAACATATTGTTTCATGCAAAGCGTTTTGTAATATTTTTCATATGGTTTTCTTAACATAATGGTTTGTATTACTAGCAAATTCTCAGATTAAAGAGATATAGCCAGTTAATATGGTTTTAATTCATTTATCATAATAATGCATGGTGCTATTTAGACTTTGTCTGGCGTTTTGTCCTACTGTGTGTGTGTGTGTGTGTGTGTGTGTGTGTTTGTAGGTCAAGTTTTGCCTATATTGTGGGGAACCAAATGTACACTCAAGGATATAAAAACCTGATATCAGCTTCACCGTGACCAATGATTTTAATTTGTTGGCTATATAAAACTGTAGAATGCAAAATTTTAGTGATTAGGATTTGAAAATCATCTAAGGGTGATGAAACTGAATACATTTGCTCACTAAAAAACAGCAGCTGCCAATGAAAAATGTGTGTTTGTGTGTGTGTGTGTGTGTGTGTGTGATTGTGCACGCGCACACAACCCAATTTAAAGATGAGTTTGCTAGTATTTGCAATTGAAATGTGTCTCTTTGTTAATGATTGTATGGATTGGAGTCTGTGGTCTTATTTACAGCCCCAATCAATATGCAAGACTTCGTCCATATTAAATGGATTATTTTAGGGTCATTTGTGTAGAGTGTTAACCAGATTTCTCTGCCTGTATGTACAGTATGTTCCTGTGGGATATCTGCTGGATGGAGAAATTAACATTTAATATATGTGACACTGACGCCAGAACTTAATAATGTTTAACAGTGTGTTCCCCACCCCCATCCTCCTGCAGATGCGACCGTCCTCCGAGCGGCTCCCATCAATGACAGGTCACGATTTGAGACTTGGCGTAATTGACTTTCACGCTTTTGTCAGACAATTAGAGTGAATGTTTCCGCAGTGGCCAGTGAATCGCACTGGCTCAGTGTTTCCTTTTTTTTAATTTTATTTTTATTTTATTGTGTGTATGTGTTACAGACTTCCTCTAATATTTGTTATCAACTGAAATGGAAGAAAATGTAAAATACTTTGCACTGATTATACACCATAACTATAGAAACTTCACCAAAAGTGCTTTCTGCAGCTGAAAGAACTGTTTTGTTCATATATGCATATTAGTGGTTAACTGTTTGTCATTGATATTAGTCCAATGGTTAAAGTAATTGCCAATGTGTACATAAAACGTAAGATGTTGATTCATTTTGGAACTGCTATATGCATCAGTCTATAAACAAAATATTCTTAGTGATCTGATAAATATTTGTTTTATGGATACATGATGCTTTATGAAACTTCTGCATGCTCAGAGTACTATAAAACCATGGACGCTTTTGTAGGATTCTTTGGCGAAACTATCATTGTTCAGTGTTGTTGAGGCTGATCAGCTGTGTCCGACTGTCAGATTTCCATTTTTGAGGCTCCTCGGGGCTATTTGAGTTGCTAAGGTCAAACACAGAATAATTGCTCTCCAGCTCCTCAGAATAGAGAATGATACAGAATGTCTTGGAATAACTTTCTGCCTTTATTTTTTACTAATAAGAACCTTTCAGTTTTTAAAATTAGTGTGAAGAATATTTAAAAAATCTAAGAACCCTTTCCACTATAAAGAACCTTTTGTGGAATGGAAAGATTCCATGGATGTTAAAAGTTCTTCACGGAACCATCGATGCCAATAAAGAACCTTTATTTTTATGAGTGATATTGGGAAAATGTGTTGTTGTGAGTTATCTAAATCATTTGCTAATGAGTAGGACGAATGGAGCATCACCAAAGAAAACCTCTGGGATTGTTTGATTATCTCTAATACCAAATGTTGAATTAATTTGGCACTAGATGCTTAAGAAATATATGAAACAATGCGTTTTAGTTTAATGGCTTTTGTTTGTGTGTGTGTGTTGAGCCTGTGTTGCGCAGTGTAATTGATGCAACTGTTTTATTTATTGATACAATGCTTTACAGAACAAGTAAAGGATGACACTGCTACGAGTAATGGCTTATGATGGATTAGTTGTGCTTTTGTTTTATTTTATTGGAACTTCCTATCGAGCTGTTCCGTACAGTTATAAATGACCTCAAACATTTACACTGCATCATTGAAATGCTTTACTATTTTTATTGTGTTCCCTTGGTTTGCAGATTCTCACACAGTTCATTCATAATGATCATAAGAAGACAGCAGTTGGTATGTCTCCTCTTGTGTTTCTCAAATTATTTTTTTATCTCTCTGCTCTAGGGAAGCCTTGAAGGGGACAATATCAGGCTTTCAAAGGGGAACCAAACTGGAATATTTTGACTTTTGGATTTTCATCACATAAAAGGATTTCAACATGGAAAATGTACCAAACCCCAAAAGGACTGTCACTGTCCAGATGATGCCTCAGCTCGCCAGTATAGATGTGCTGGGAAATAAAGAGTTAAATGCTAACTGGGACATTGAGCCAAAGTTAAACTTAAATCAGGATCGCTCAGATCAGGATAATATGCATCTCAATTCCTCCATCAAAGATTCCCAAACCACACTGCTTGGAGGGACTGTTCTTGAAGATAAAAACATGCCATCCCCTGGCAGTGAAGATCACAGGCGACCTCAAAACAGTAACGCAAACATAAAGACCTCGGGTCAGTGTGCCAAGAGTGCTGAAGGTAGAAAAACTGATTGTGATAGGAATTCAAATTCGGAAACTGTCCTTTCGACATCCAGCTCATCATCTACAACTACATATAATGTTGACAAGGAGGAAAATGCCAATAGCACAATAAAGGCACTTGAGAATGTACAACATGAGCCCAAAGCACAGAGCAAAGCATCAGAAACTAGTGCAATCAAAGAGACACTGCATAATCAAACGCCAAGCCAGACCAGTACCAACAATACAATAAAGGACATGCCACTTTTATCTGGATCAAAAGATGTGAGTTGCAGCACCAGCATAAGCATCAGCAGTACACAGTTTGAAATGGTATCCTCCACCAATGCTCCTAAAACCAATCACTCAGCGGCCGAAACATCTGGACCAGTACCTGGGACAAGATCTCAGACCCCACAACCACACAAGATCCATCATATGCCTGTTAAAGAGGACAAATGTAGCAACGACTGCATGAAAAAGGATGTTAAACCACCAGGGACCTCTCAGGAGACTTCGTCTGGATGCCCATTGGTGTCTTCAGCTAGCAGTGCAAGTCACTCGGTCCACACGGAAGTGATTGATGAGGAGGTCCAAACGCAGGGAGCTGCTCCTGAAGAGCAGAAGCAGGTCCACTGTAAACTCTTTCGTGAGGCATCTACTATGACTTCAGCAGTAGAGTTTGGCGACCAACCCGGGACGCAACGGCATGATGTGGAGGTGCAGGCGGTCGCTACGGTCTGCAGTCAATCTACAGCCACTAGCCCTAGTCTTCTGTCTCTACAACCCCATCGGAGGTCAGTTGGCCTACTACCTGAGGAGACTGAGAGTATAGCAGTGGTTGTTGGGGTAAAGACCCCCTCAGAGGTCACATCTGTCTTTGTATCCAGTACGATCCTCCCTGGGAAGCCTACACAGTCAGACACAGTGATGGTCCATGTAGATGCTGACCTTCAGGAAGAGTCCAAGCTTGGGGCCAAGCCTAAAGAGCCTCAACACAACAGCCAAAAAGGGATTTCGCCCCTTCAACCCGTTTATCAGATCAATATTGAGACCTGCAGTCAAAGCAAACAGTCAAACAACACTACCTGTCAACTCCAGAGCCAAGGTTCACCTGCGGTTTCAGCATCTGGTCCACATAATGTGGCATTATGTGTGCAGGAGCCCAAGACAACATCTGCTCAGGTCTGCCAGGATTTGCCGGTAAAACCGGCCAATGCTCCTGCATCGAAATCCAAGGAGGCAAGTTCTGCAAAACCTCCAAAGGACATGGCAATGGCCACTCCTCCAACATCAAGCTCCACACCACAAAGTAAAAAGGTAGAGAAGAAACAGAAGGGAGCTTCCAAGCTGGAGTGTAAGAAAGATGACCAAGCGGAAGAGAAGGCCAAGCAATCCAAGAGTGTAAATGACGTCGTGTGGGACGAGCAAGGCATGACATGGGAGGTATACGGAGCGTCAGTGGATCCAGAGTCGCTGGGATTTGCCATTCAAAGTCACCTGCAGTGCAAAATCAAGGAGCATGAGAAGATCATCACCCAGGCGGTTATCAGAAAATCCTTGTCTTCGCCTCCTGGCAAGAAGAACAAGAGGAGGCAGGTTAACATCAACTTGAGGTCCATGTTCCAAAATGTCCGCCGACCCAACTGTTGCGCACGGCCGGCAGTTCTAGAATGAAAGATTGATTGTCATTAGCCACTTTTCCACTGTCGGCCAGTGCGAGCCAGGGCTAACAACGTGCTGGGTGGGGCCAATAGCACCAGTAGCCCCTCAGCACTACCCTAAAACCAGCCCTTAACACACCTCCAGTTATGCGAGTTAACCGGAGTACGTACTGTATATGCTGCCTTCACTATCGGAAATTTCCAACTTTTTCACTCCTAAAGTTGTGATTACGAGCTCATTGCATTAAAATTTTGACTTGAGAGGGTTTTCATGACCAATTTTATTTTTTTAAATAGGAAACTATGAAAATTCCAATAGCATGTGAAGGCAGCATTAGTCCGGTATCAACAAAGGCACAGGGAAGAGACAGATAAAACATTAAACCGAATAAACACACAATTATAATCATATATGATTTGTAGGGGTGTAACACAAAATATATCACATTACTAAAATGCAACAATATGTTTCGTGGATAGTTCCCCCAAAATAAAAATTACTCTGAGAATATTAAAGTTTTCAGCGTTTTAGTGCAATTACTACACGGAACTACTAATGTTGATTATAATGTATAATAATGCATATTTATGGGTCCTGATAACGCCAAATGCCTGATGTTACCAGTAAAAAGTGTCCGATATTATTTTAAATTTATCTAGTCGGTGAAAGCGTGCAAGCATATTCATCTACAATAACTCTGGTGTCACCATTGGGTTACAAGCACCAAGTCAAGTCTATTCATTTAAACCCACAATGTAATATCAAATTTAGCATTTCAATCAACAGTTCATTTTTTGTTAACCTTTTACCATATGTCTTGGAGTATCGCAATAATATCGTATCGTGATACTGTATGTATCGATTCGTGACATGAGGGTATTGTTACACCCCTAATGATTTTTCTACGTTCTGTAAGCATTCTCTGGTATTTTCCATTAAATGTGAATTAATTGTCGCAACAGTTAGCATACGTAGCTTTTAGCATCGCATATTAATATTTTTGCCTCAAACGGTGATTAGAATCCCCATCGGATCGTAAGGAAGTTATTTCAAACACTCGCTGTGTCTGAAAGTGAGTTTTTTTTTTACAAGTTAAATGTTAAAGTAGCCTGATGTAATAATATAAGAAATGACTAGTGGTGTTGTCGCTCTCCTGACAGACTCAGAAAAGACCTCTCCTGACCTTTGTTCATAACTCAAGCCCCATTTGGCCCGCTTTGGAGTGGACCAAGGTATTCGGCGGGCCGAAAACCACTGGCCGTTGACCCAGAGGAAGGCCCGGAAGTGACAGGGGAAACGCGACTGGTCCTGGCACGCATTAGGGCTCTCGCATTTGTCCTGACAGTGGAAACATGACTATTGAGAGGTCAATGGGATCTTCCATGAGACAAGCATGCTGGGACATTTGTTTCTGAAGAGTTTGTTAAATCTAGAAACTAATGGTTATTTGAATGTTATGTGGAGAACAGAAAATATTTTTAGATAAAGATTATTTATGGTGATAGTAAAGCTGTAACGACGTATAGAGTGCTATGGCAATAATTATAATTAATATAACAGTAATGATAATATGTAGTAATCTGCATGTGTATATTAGTTCAGATTGGCAGTCTTCTAACTACCCAAGATTATGCACTGGAGCAGCAGATGTATGCATATTTACATAACATATTTACATATTGTATGCATAACCCTTTTTACCTACTTTATTTAGTTGAATATCTTTTCAAATTTTAGTAGCCTAGATATGTTTGGTAAAAACAAATTGTGTTGCATTATTTTATTTGTAACTGTTGATTTATTGTGAATATATATTTACTTGGTGTAAACAGAGCCTGTTTATGATTTTATATTAAAATGATTTGGCAAGCATTTCATAGCTGTGTATTTTTAGCATAGCGTATAGCTAAAACTTTTAAAAAATATCAAATAATGATGTGACGTTTAAATATATATCGTGGATTATTGTGGGGGTTTAGATTTCTGTTACAAGATGTGAATGTTATTTGCAGATGCTAATGAAAAACAGATCTACATCAAACCGAATTTTGATCATTTAAGCATCAAAATGCGCGGCATGATATCCGAACGGGCCGCTGGAGGCCCTATAACCCACAGATAAATGTAAAGAAATGCACATTTCAAAAGTAATCCTTCCTTGTTATTCATACCGTCATTAAGACTGCTAATAGATTCCCTGTGGATCTCAGATTTGATCTTATCACCCTGCAGATGTTCTGTGTGGTTATTAGCGCATTTTTGCTACACGGTTGTTAGGGTGGTTGCTTACTGGCCCAATCCAAAACAGATGACACCCAGATCTGAGATCTACTCGTCTCTAGTCTAGATATGACTCGAGTCTTTCCTTCAATGTCGGTCTTTTTTTGTTTGTTTGTTTTGTTTTTTCACCTGTTTTATCATCTTCCAGGTGAAAATCTAAAGTCTGATCACTAAGAAAAGTAAAAAGCCACATCATCTGAAGTATAGACCTTATGTAGCCACGCCCCTTTTCAGCGTTGCGCTCGTTTGGTGGACACACGGAGATTTGGACCCTAAACTTAAGTGTTACTGTGATTTTTACTGTGATTCTTTTTTAAATAATCATTTGTCTTATGAATGAGCAAATGTTATTTGATATGTATATACCAAAAATATGTGTATGAAATCAATAATTTACCTTGGTCATAAAGCCAAGTTATCAAACCTTGGTCACCAGTCCACACCAGTTCCAAGTCATTCAGAATGCAACCAAACGCAATGCTTCATTTACAGCAGGGAATTCTGCAGTTCTTGTAACTGCAAACCCAGCAAGTTCTCATGCATTTTTACAGTACATTTGGGAGTCTATAACCCCTGCATCACTGTTTGAAGATCTCTATGGGGCCAGAAGCTTCAGGAGATTACATCTCCTCTTCTCCCAGGTTGTCTGATCAGTTTTGCATCAGCTGTCGTCTCCATCACGGCTTCCTTTTGTTTACTTGCTGCTGCTGCTACATTAAATAATTGGAAGAGCTCCAGCGCTTGCTCTCATGGTGCCGCTCCCTGTGGAATATTTGCCCTACATATGTTTGTGCAACACACACACACACACCTTGATTTACTCTCTCTGTCCTTCTCCTATACTGCATACCCTCACGTGTTGTCTTTGTATATGACACGTTACACATTTATGTCCCCTAAAAAGCATTAAGAGACACAAACTGGCTATCGTGTTTTTTCTACTGATATCTAACTCTAAAATTAATCCTGTAAAAAAACGGCAAACGACTGGCAGCTGTGGTTGCCAGTATCATACCATAAAAATACGGTGTGTTACTGTTTTTGAAATTAACTGTAAAAAATAATCCTGTAAAAAAAACGGTAAACTACTGGCAGCTGTGGTTGTCAGCATCATACTGTAAAAATACAGTGTGTTACTGTTTTTGAAATTAACAGCCAAATACCGTATTGTCAACTACAGTATAAAACTTTAACTTTAATTTAACAGCTATATGCTCTAACACAAAAACAGTAACACACTGTATAGTTACGGTATGATGCTGGCAACCACAGCTGCCAGTAGTTTACCGTTTTTTTTTTACAGGTTTATTTTTTACAGTGTACTTAATTGTCAGTTACAGTATAAAATTTTCATTTAACAGCTATATTCTCTAACACAAAAACAGTAACACACCGTACAGTATGATGCTGGCAACCACAGCTGCCAGTAGTTTACAGGTTTTTTTACAGGATTATTTTTTACATATCGAATAGCTAACTACGCAAATGTCTGAATGCCTTTGAGCTTATTTTCATTAAAAAATAACAATATTGAGCATTCTGTAAGATTTATTATTTATAATGCCATATAAATGAAATTGTAAAGCTAAATATATCAAATATTTATTTTATTTATATTGTGGGGTTAAAAAGTCTGAGATTTAAAAAAATAGAGCTTGGATGATTTCAAAAGTGACCCTAAAAAAATAGATCCATTAAATCTTTACGATTTGACTTTCAATGTCACTGAACTTTATACCATTCTTAACTCTTAAGATCCAGTGATTCTGTTTATTATTTCTAATCTACAAGATTAAAAATAGACTGCATTGAAAATATTATTAAAATATTGAAGGCAGGATAAAAACGTTGCACTCTTTATAAACGATACAAGAGCATTTTGGTTATGTGGTGACAGGACTGTCACTTCCTATTAGCCACAATTTGTGAGCGGTGCTTTGAGTCTCTTCATTGGCTCTTATTAAATGTTAAATAAATTAAAAAATCTGCAAATAGCTGCAGGGTGACAGACCATCATCCCCTACTTGCAACTGATCTCACACTGAGACGCCGCCTGCCCTTCACTCTCCGCTTCGTCTTATATAAAAACTGACAATATGGCGCTCTTCACTCACAGCTTCGGCTCACAGCAGACCGTGACAGTCCAAATGAGGTGTCAGTAACTGTACATTGTACCTCACACATGACTCTATGGCAGATGATATTGATATAATATTACATGAGATATCAAATCCTTCCATTTACTACCATTTTCTACTTCACTATGTGCCTCGATTGTCTGTATATGGACAGAAAAGTAGACTCTCTCTCTAATGATTATTAGGAACATCATACTAATACTGTGTTTGACCCCCATTCGCCTTCAGAAATGCCTTCAGTCTATGTGGCGTTGATTCAACAAGGTGCTGAAAGCATTCTTTAGAAATGTTGGCCCATATTGATAGGATAGCATCTTGCAGTGGCTCGAAGCTCCCGTTCCACCACATCCCAAAGATGCTCTATTGGGTTGAGATCTGGTGACTGTGGGGGCCATTTTAGTACAGTGAACTCATTGTCATGTTCAAGAAACCAATTTGAAATGATTCGAGCTTTGTGACATGATGCATTATCCTGCTGGAAGTAGCCATCAGACGATGGGGACATGGTGGCCATAAAGGGATGGACATGGTCAGAAACAATGCTCAGGTAGGCCGTGGCATTTAAACGATGCCCAATTGGCACTAAAGGGCCTAAAGTGTGCCAAGAAAACATCCCCCACACCATTACACCACCACCACCAGCTTGCACAGTGGTAACAAGGCATGATGGATCCATGTTCAAATTCTGACTCTACCATCTGAATGTCTCAACAGAAATCGAGACTCATCAGACCAGGCAACATTTTTCCAGTCTTCAACTGTCCAATTTTGGCGAGCTCTTGCAAATTGTCGCCTCTTTTTCCTATTTGTAGTGGAGATGAGTGGTACCCGGTGGGGTCTTCTACTGTTGTAGCCCATCCGCCTCAAGGTTGTGCCCAAATGCTTTGCTGCATACTTCGGTTGTAACGGGTGGTTATTTCAGTCAAAGTTGCTCTTCTATCAGCTTGAATCAGTCGGCCCATTCTCCTCTGACCTCTAGCATCAACAAGGCATTTTCGCACACAGGACTGCCGCATACTAGATGTTTTTCCCTTTTCACCAACAACCATGCCAGGCTCAAAATTGCTTACATCACCTTTCTTTCTCATTCTGACATTCAGTTTGGAGTTTCAGGAGATTGTCTTGACCAGGACAAGAACCCTAGAACCCAAAAACCCACCTTTTCCAAGAGTGGTATAGATGCATTTAAAATGATAACCTTATTTACACGAGTAAACCTCAAAATGAGCAACAAAGTAAACTCTGCACCGAAAAAGTATCTATCAAAAAATGTTCTTGAGAGATAAAACCTCTCCTATGACATGAAAGTGACATTGTAATCCTGTTGATAGCAGGTCATTCCTGGTAATTCCAAGTGAGCAACACACAGTTCCTCATTATCTTTATGAGATAATGAAGTGCCACTCGGTGCAAACTCGGTACGCAAAGTTATTTTCTCTCCAGAATACCAGGAAGAACCTCAATGACACTCTTTAAAGAACAAGCCAGATAGTGACACTGCCTTCCAAAGGCTCCTTCAGAACAAACCTCTGGTGGAGCGACTGAGCATATATGGGCCACTTCAATGAAAGCAGCTCTTTAAAAAGATCCTCTTTTATTCTCCCAGCTCAATGCCTGAGCACACAGGTCTTGACAGTATGTGTGGCACAGCAAGCTGTTCTTTCTCTTCACTGTTGATTTTTTCTTCCCAAATACAAAGTATTCAGTCAATTGCCGGCCCTTAGGGTGTTTATTTTTAGACACAATAGATCCAGGTATTTGAATGAACTAAGAAATATTGTGTCTGCAGACATGCAGGAAGGTCTCAAAAGGTCTTAAAATGTGTTTTCTTGCAATGGACAGACAACGGCGTCCAAAACAACGGTGAACCGCAAAGACTTTCCCATTAAATGATTAAAAGCACAGAGAGTAAAGATGTTAATGAAATAAAGGTTAAATAGGCTATATCTAAGAATTACATGAATGAATGCTAATGTGTGAACAGCTTGTTAAGAAAAATTCAAAACTAGACCTTCCAAGACTTCCTAGATTCTATGAAAGCCTGTACACTGATTTTAATGTGAAGGACTCAAGACATTTTGCAAGGAAAATCAAATGTGACGTTTATGCTCCAGAAAGCATCTCTTTTTTCTATGACACATGAAATGAATGCTTATAAAATGTTCGGGATAGTGCTAAAAGAGCCATTCTGTACGGTAATGTAAATGTGTCATGGAAAGTATAAGAATGAATTCAAACTAGTGTCACATAGTCAGACATAATCTAGTCTCAAATATAGGCTGCTTTATAATCAAACTATAACAGTGTAATTTTAATTACCTCATCTGTCGACACAATGCCGGTGAATTGCAGAGCTGGTGAAAACATATCCACATCTCTATGATCAGATGCTTTCTTAATTGTTTTCTCAATGCTACAAGTATGTTTATTTTGGTATTGTGGGGAAAG